CAGTGAAGAAATGAAAAACCTTGGTCTGAAACTGGACCCAGCAGTAAAGCAGCAACATAGTTAGCAAAGGAAATAATTTTGAAAGGTTCCTATTGCCATTTTAACATGCTTTGGTTTATCGTGCAGTCCCATTCTCACAAATCAGACAGGTCCATAAAGACAGAAAAATGCATATGCAAGCTCAGACTTGAGCATGCCCTTAGATGCATGAAGGGACTCATGTACCTGAACCTGCCCAACTCTTTATATCTCACGGCATGACAAGACAGGTTACAAGCATGGCAGCTACATATGTAGATGTATGTCCTCTCTCACTACAGAAGGTTGAGGAAAAAGAGCTTTCTTAAAGAAAGTTTAGACAGCTCTTGGCAGTAAATCTCAAACAGAGTCACTGGCAATAATGTTTAGCCAGCAAATTTTGCCCCATTCAGGTGGACTGCAGGCTTTGATTGCTTCTCAGATGACACCTGTCCAATACAGGCGGCAGCACCTGGAAAGGCTGTGTAAATTCTGCCTCTGGTCTCGGTGGGGGGCTTGGAGGCAGGCTGACCTGGGGTATTATCTGTCACTTTCCAGGCTTTCGGGAAGTTGTTTCTTCAACGCCCCCTTTTTTTCGAAAAGTGAGGGTTTTCTCGGGCTCCCTTGCTGATCTTCTCAAGGGCCTTTGCGGGGCAGAGACTGATCCCGGAGCGGGACGAAGGCTGCCAAACGCGCAAAGTCAGCAGCTGAGAGGGGGTTGGTTTGTTTTGCTGAATTGATCCACTTCTAGTCATCTGACGTGTTTCGTCATTACAAAAGGCGGTTTCTGAAAATGTAGTTTGCAAGTTGATATTGTCCTTTGAATATCTCATGAGCTGCTGTCCAAACATTATTTTTATCTAAGAATTGTTTTTACTGTAATGTTTGTTTTGTTTCTGTCTTAACAGTGTTTTAAAACTACAGATAGGAGGTAACTTCTTCATAGACAAATATGTATTCTTTCAAAGATTAGATGTTACTAA